ACACAGACACACACACACACACACACACACACACACACACAAACACCTAATGCACTCCAGCCCATTGTGGTGCCCATCTCTCTCAAAAGGTGAGTCCTTCCTTACACAGGAACAAAAACAGAAGTTGCTGGAAAAGCTCAGCAGGTCTGGCAGCATCTGTGAAGGAAAAAAATCAGAGTTAACATTTCAGGGCCGGCGACCCTTCCTTCCTTACATGTCCTTAACTAATCAAAATCCTTCATTCTCGACTTTAACAACAGAATAAACACGACGTTAACATTGGCCCTGGTGATCTAAGGAGCCTGAGATAGCCCAGGAGAAGGCGTCACTCATTGGGTTTAGACTGTGGTGGTAATGACTCTCTCTTTCTCTCTCTCCCTCTCCCTTCCTTTCTCGTTCCTTCTCTCACTTCTGCAGATACTTGAATCTCACCAAGGTGCCCTGGAAGATTAAAAAGCAGGATGCCCTTGCCACCGTAGCCCTGGTGGCCCAGAACATTAACGGGAAGAAACCCGCCTGGAACTTTATTAAAGACAACTGGGAGTCCATCCGCTCAGAGTAGGTGCACCTATGCCAAAAGGCTGGTACAGGGGGAGTGCCGAATGGAGGGATGGGGAGTGTTGGGGGGTGGGGGGAGGCTTTATTAAGGGCACAGCCGCTCCTGTGGGGTGGACTCCTTCCTCGGCGCCTCAGAAAGTAACGTGCGGAGCGGGAAGTTGTTGTTGGCGCATGCGCTCCCAGGGGCCCCGTATCCGAACGAAAGACATTCTGTTTTTGTCTCCCGCGTCCAGGCACAAGAGTGTGGAGGCGATCGTGGGACTGCTGGAGGGCGTGACATCCAGATTCACCACTGACGCGGACCTCCGGGAGGTCAGAGTCCATCTGTTCCCGGCGTCCGAGCTGACGGTTTGGCGGGGAGCGGGCTTAGCGAAAGGAAAGGTCTCGCGTTTCTCCAGCACCTTTCGCCAACCACCTCACCTCCCCTCCCCTCCCCCCACCCCCGGCAGCCTGGCCAAAGCCACGCTTTCATAGCCGGGGGTGGGCCTACGATTTGATTGAACTGGTGCGCACAGCAAGATCCCGCAATCAGGCGGCAACCTGGCTCACCTAGTTTTTTATTTTCCTTTCGTTGTTGCGATGCTGGCTGAGGGATTGATGTTGCCCCCAGGATGCCTCACCAATCTCTTTCTATCGCCTACCCCCCCCCCCTACAAAAATTGTCTAATAATTGCTGGTGGCGGGGGACAAGAGATCATTATAGAGCCAAAAGAGGTGGGCAGCGCGGAAACAGACCCTTCGGCCCATCCAGTGCGTGCCGAACATAATCCCAAAACTAAACCAGTCCTACCTGCCTGCTCCTGGCCCATATCCCTCCAAACTTTTCCTATTCATGGACTTATCCAAGTGTCTTTTAACCGTTGTAACTGTACCCATGTCCCTCACTTCCTCTGGAAGTTCAAACCACGCACGAACCACTCCCTGTGTGTAAAAAAAAAAGTTGCTCCTCATGTTTTTTTAAAGTCTTTCCTTCCTCGCCTTAAAAATATGCTCCCTAGACTTGAAATCCCCCCACCCTACGGAAAAAGGCACCTTATCTATATATACCCCTCATGATTTTATAAGCCTCCTTAAGGTCACCCCTCAAAGCTGTAGGGGAAAAAAGTCCCAGCCTCTCCTTGTAACTCCATTCCCGGCCACTTTTTCGATCAGGAGGGGAACCGAAGGAGAAGGCAGGAAAGTGGGAGTCAGAACAGCCGTTGAACAGTGGGGTAGAATCGACGGGCTGAAGGGGTGTACTTCTGGTGGCCCTGACTGTCCCTGTTCTGTTCCCAGTTGAAGGCATTCGACGCGAAAATGGAGTCTGAAGGCTATTACTTTGCGGGCCGCATGATGGCCAAGGCAATGAGGCGCACCACCTCTTACATACAATGGAGGAAGGAGAACGAGAAGGAGATCTACAACTGGATGAGGAACAATGTGTGAAAGCCGATGCCCCAGGCTCCCCCGTCCCCTCCCGCTTGGGATGGCCCTTTGCAACCTCCTGCCCGTTTCCACCCCCCCACCACTTCACTCCCTCCGAAACACTCATCTTTGCCGCTCCAGTAGTGGGTGGGGGGTTGCGTGGGGCACCCCAGGGGTCGTGCGGCGGGCATGAGGATGGCGAGGTGGGGGAGTTGTTAGTGTAGTGCTCCATTGTCCTTCGCACCCCCCTCCACCCGCTGCCTCCCCCCAAGCCCATCTTTCTCATCTCCCAACCTTTACCCCCCACCCCATCAACAACCATTGCCAATGCCAACTGGAATCCCCACATCCGCCTGGCATCGCAATCCCCCCAACCCTCATCCCACCCCGAGCACGGGGGGAGGACCCAATGAGGGCGGGGCAGGGGCTTCACTGTTAACCCCCACCCCCCCACCCAAGGCTTCCTGGCCATCTTTGGACCCGGGATCCCGCATTTCATCGCCAGGAGTTCCCCCCACCCTCGGCAGTTGCCCCTCGAAAGTCAGGCATTTGCAGCGATGGGGTGGTGGGGCATCTAATTTACCCGCAGAGGGGATGGGTACCGAACCTCTCAGAATGACTCCATCCTCAGCCCGCCCACCAGCTCTAACTAACGCCAAGGGGAAGTGTACCGTTTCCATCCCCGTGGGGGTGTTTTTTTTTGATGTTCCCAATGGGCACAGATGGGCATTGACACTTTGCTAGTCCATGGGGTAAAGGGGGAGCACAGTCGGAACAGTTTCAAACTCTGCCAATCCCGGTGTCCAACCCAGGTCAGTTTCGAGGCTTATCCTCAATCCCCTCCAAATGGGGGATAAATCAGTTCACAATCCAAAAATATGCTCCCTTGACTTGAAATCCCCGCACCCTAAGGAAAAGGCACCTTATCTATATATACCCCTCCAAGGAATTGATGTGTTAAAAGGCCGAATTTTCCACAAAGGACAAGGGTCTCTGTTGAGCTAGACCACTCTCCTGTCTTAATGATGGTTGCCCTCTTGGCGTTTGATCGGGTAACGTCGATATTTTTAAACTGGCTTTGATTTTGCATTTTCTGTCGTTTTTTTTTTTAACAAGAGCCGGGTCTCTATCTTTTTCATTTGTAGAACAAATTCATTTCCTTTGTCATCATCAAATGATTAAAGATCTTGACAATGATGAAATTATCTCTCTTTAATCTCTTCAACACTCAGAGGCATTTCCTTTGATGTATTGCCCCGCTATCAATTTTGCGGGGGGTTACCATCGAGAGAGAATCTAACCATCGCCCCCCCCCCCCCCCCCCCCCCACTTGATGTTCAATGATGTTACCCTTCACTATTACCGTCCTGGGGGTTACCACTTACTAAAAATTCAACTGCATTCAGCATCTAAAAACCACAAGAACAGGTCAGAGGCTGGGAACCCTGCAGCGAGTAACTCCCGTCCCGACTCCCCCC